TATTACTTAAAAAAAATGTTATTCTTATTATAATTTACGATAAATCAAGATAACTTTTATTATTTAATATATTTTTAAAAAGCAATTTATTCCGGTAAACAGCATTTATTTATTATATTTATCTTTTATAACATTACACATGTTTACAGTCATTTTTAGTAAATTTCATGTGTCCTTGTTGAATAAAAGTATAAAAAAAATAATAATGACCCCATACTTTTGAACAGTAGTATTGCATACAGAGCTGGGTAGTAACTGATTACATGTAATCTGGATTATGTAATCAGATTCCAAAAAATCATTAGATTATATTACATTTTATAATGCTCATAATAAGATTACAGTTACTTTTTATGGATTACATGATTACATATTCACACTATGGCAGTAAATTATTCTTAATTTATTGATTCTCCCCAATTCTTTTTTCTTTTAAATTGTCCTTTCTAAAGATCCTACTGTGTGTCGTACCATTTAGCTTTGACTATATTCACAAATGTCATGTTAATAATTTTGCATTCCATGTTTCTGAATTTTTTTTTCTTTTTCTTTTTTTTTTTTTTACATTTTTATGATTTAATTAAGTATTATCTTTTTATCAACTCACAAACCCACTGCTGTTCTTACATTAAGTCCAGTTTGGGAAACCCTGGTTTAATTTGTATTTTTCTATATAAATATGGTATGTTTAATAGTAAGTTTAAAACAAGTTAGACAAAAAGTAATCTAAAAAGTAGTGAGAAGAATACATTACCTAAAATGTGTAACGTAGATTATGTTACTAACTAGTTTTCATCATGTAATCAGTAATGGACTACATTTTGAAAGTAATCTACCCATCTCTAGTAGTATATTTTATATTATATGGAAATGTTCATTTTGAATTTGTTTTAAGTTCTTCTGAGTAGAGTAAATTTATCCATAATGAGTTGATAAAACATATTAGTCATGGTATTACTTTTGCATTTCAGTTAATTCTGTGAGTTCTATATGTGTGAAATGTCTGGCAACTCAATTGGAAATTGTCCATAGCAGTTTCTATAAAATTTAAAAAACTTAACCAGTAAACACTTGCCTGGACAAGTCATGGAACATAGGACTTAACGTGGGGTCTTTATGTGCAATTTTGTCAAAATGAATCTGTATTTGTGATGCAACATACACTGGAATCATTTATGTTCTGTAGTCTTGTCTTTTTTGACATCAATAAAGATGGTTGTGTGATTGAAACATCATGCACGCTGTAGTGCACTAATTCCAGGAACAGAATTTTAGAATCTTAATTCTGGAAATGCTGAATATTACCAGTAGCTCCTCCCCCTCATTTCGGGATGCTGTGACTTCCGTGAGCGGCATTTTTGAGCACCCTCTCTTCTTCTTTTTTTTTTTTCCCCACGCTACGTGTTTGCACAGTCCGGCAGCTTATAATTTCACCCTCTGCAATTTTCTCCATCTCTCTGGTTTTCTAAGTAAAGAGGAAAGAGGCCCTAAAAATGGCCGCACTATAAAAGCGCTTGACGTCGGGGTTGCTGCGGAGATGTGAGGGGGCTTTCATGTTCTCAGCGCTGCACTATTAGACCTGCGGCTCTCTGCTCTACTGCTGCACAGCGCTGTATTTATAGCTGTGGTTTGTCTCAAGCCACTGCCTCTTCAGCTCTTAGCTCAGGCCTGGTCCTTCCCGTAGATTTAAACTGGGGCCTAATCGGAACCGTGGAGCTCCGTGCTGGGGCCTACTTCTCCTCAGCTCCATCACAGGGCCTACTGTCATGCTTTCTGTGTGCAATTAAAGTAAGTAATGGAAAAGTATCACAGGATTGGTTTCAGAGGTTAAGTGAGGAATTGAAGCTGTATTTGTTTTGAATGTAAATAACAAGTCAGGTCAGTCGTTCCGTGTTGTAATGGCTAGTTCTCTTTCATGTATGACATCATGACGACTGCGTCCAAAGCAACGACAGCTTCAGGTAAAAGGTTTGGGAACAAAATCAGACTAGTCTAAACAAATAAGCTCACACCGATACAGGCGAGGTTGTGTATTCCAGGGCAGAGCTGGTGTCAGAATAATGTCAGCTGGATGGAAAGAGGGCAGCGGTTTGTACAGGAATACGTACACGGATACAAACACTTGTAAACTTTGTAAAAGTGAACGTCACAGTTGACCTCATTTACTTTCTGGACTTATGTGATAAATAAATAAAAAGATGAGGGAGTAGAGCATTCAAGATGCAAATGTACCATCAAAGTAGCGACTCGTAAAAACATAATTCTTTTCAGTTGGTCCTTGAATTAATCTTTTGATTCAGTTCACAAAAACTGAATGATTCTCTTAACAAATTAAACTGATTCGGTTCTTGAATTCCACTTACTGACTCAATGATCCGGTCACTGCTTTTAACAGCTCGCTGGAGGGTAAATTATTAGTGAATATATACACTTTTAGTCTTTTCCTAACACAAAGCCATCGTATGGCTTCAGAAGACTTGTAAAAACGTAGTATACAAGTCATATTTTTATGATACTTATAAGCAGTGTTGGGGGGTGACGCATTACAAGTTACGTAATCAGATTACTTTTTTAAGTAACTAGTAAAGTAACGCATTACTTTTTAATTTAGAAGGAAATATCTGAGTTCCTTTTTCAATTAAGTAACGCCTGTGACTTTGTTTCCCATGTCTTGACTGACAGCTCTCATGTTGCCATGTTGAGAGAAATCGGGAGTAAGTGCAGAGGTGTTGTGTGCGCTGTGTGAACATGATGATACTGTAGTTCTAGACTAAATGTCAACATGCATTTACTCATCTCACCTGCACAAAAACAGATTCAGTAGCTATTCTTCAAAATGAATAAAAACAGTGTTAAATAAGAAAAAAAAATCCTTTGTATTTAATCCCAGTTTATTAAGCAATGTCTTTGCTACTGACCTTCGATGATCCAATTCAACCATACTAAGCAAAAATGACACATTCGTAATTCATTTTTGATATTGCTGAATAGTATTGAACGTTCTTCTCCTGCGTCAAATTCTTCATGCAATTCGTTTGAGCGGCGCCTCTACTGTACAGAGGGGAATTTACATTTCCTTCAGCCTGAGGCGTATTCATTTGACTTTTGTTGTGAAAGGGCTTTTACATTTGTAAAATAACTTTTTTTTTATATTAAAAACAAACAAGCAAGCCCAGCCCAGATTTAAAAAGTAACTCAAAAGTAACGTAACGCATTACTTTCGAAAAAAAGTAACGTAATAATTAGTTACTTTTTTAGGGAGTAACGCAATATTGTAATGCATTACTTTTAAAAGTAACTTTCCCCAACACTGCTTCTAAGGTGTTTTTATGTCTGTTTTGAACCCTGAAAGTGCCAGTCCCCATTTATTGCAATTGCATGGAAAAGGGATCAATCTGTTGGTCAACATGGCGAATTTGCGCAACCAATTTAAAGGGGTCATATGATGCTATTTTAAAGATCATTATTTGGTGTATTTGGTGTAACAGAATATGTTGACATGCTTTAATGTTCAAAAAACACATTATTTTTCAAATACTGTACGTTACTCTGCGCTGTGCAAAACTGTGCATTTGAACAGTAAATAGCAAATACTTAAACTGATAACAAAACATACTTACAGTCGCTGATTCAGAAGCTCCAGATTGTCATAGCAAAGTCGGAATTTACCCCTTTTTTTTTTTTTTTTTTTAAATAGCCTTTGTGCACAGCCAGCCTTGTACTCTTCTAGGTTCAAAAAACTGTCGTCCATAAAATGCGTTGCACAAATTTGAACATCTGGGTTGTGCTGTTCTGTTGTAAATAAATCTTAACCGATGATTCCTAATTGCATCTACTTCCGGAAGGCCAAATAAAGTGCTTTTGCTTTCGCACTGAAACACACAGCGTCTCCCTGACATGCTGCTTCAACACTAACTGTGGTTACTGAAACCACGCCTTCTTTCTTTGCGTGCACATTTGGGCGGCATTATGCAAATATTTCCACATAGTGAGGTAGATATGTGGGGGCGCGTTAGAATGAGCCGTTTTAGGAGGGTGTGGTTGACTCTTAACTTTTATAAAGAATATCTCTTTGGATTTGAGACTTTGCAACTTTACAGATCTTCTTTATGCACCAAGAGCTTGTAACACTCCAAAGAGAAAGGAAAACTTGAAATCGCATCATATGACCCCTTTAAACATGAGTGAAATCTGCATGGAGAACTTTTTCACTTTTTGATGTCATTTTTTTTTTATCAAATATCCAGTTTCGCATCACATTTTTAGAAATGCACATGTCTTTTCATGTCGACTTTAAACCCCGTGTCTGAAGCCGTGACCAATCACAAGCCCAGAATTACAGCACATATGAGTGACGTCTTAATGCCGTCACCTTTTTTTTCTTCAGAATTGATGGTGAACAGGTGTGTGCGCGCGCTAATGCTGACTGTCTACGTTCTGATCTTTTAATCACAGTCAGTGAGAGTGTTATATAATGAAAACCGCTCGTAGTTGTTTGTGTGCGTCTGAGTGGATTAGACGTGCGATTGAATAGGGCAGGAGTCAGGAGCGCCACTTTCGGATGAGGCTCACATACGCTTGAGAATGGATAAAGGGAGACAAACAGAAAGAGAGCAGATTGTCTGCATCAGGTCTCGCTCGCTCTCTGTGTTTGTGCCGAGCGATGATGTCATAAAGCTTTTGGCTCCTCTCAGGCTGTTCAGATCTGTGTTGAACGTTTCCAGGGAAACAATGATGCTTGTTTATCAACCGTTGGCAAGGTCAGTTACTCCTCAGGCCTGAAGGAAGGATCCAAGAAAAGAGTGGTGTTTTCAAATAAACGAAGAAAGGGAGGATTTGTTTGTTTTTGTGTATGAGAGGGCGCTATAGACCAGCGTGTTCCTAAAAAAGCAGATTAGCAGCGTGTTTCTACTTTAAATAGTGCTTTTAGGTTTTATTTCGTGTTGTCTGTGGCCGTTTGATCATCTGACTAACGTTCGTTTCTCCTCTTTTTCCACCAGAATGAAGAGTAGAAAGCCGCCGTTTCTTCAGCATCAAGACTCAAAATCTCTCCCCGTTCACCACAAGCCGGACCTCAGAAAACTGGACCTCAATAAACTCACTAACCTCATTTTCCAGAACCACATTATCACCCAGACGCTACCAAAACCATATGGACAAAACAGACCTCATAACATCACGTATCCGGACCTCACAATTGCTGGATTCCACTAACCATATATCTCTCACAACCGGACTTTCACTGTGCGCACCTCTTCAGACATTACTGTCCAACTGTTACAGACTCGGTACAAATGGATTTCTACCATCAAATGTGGTAAAACAGCACCTTTTGAGGCAATGGTACTGCAGTAGTAGTTGTAGTTTCTCAAGCAATGTTACATTAATAATATTTATGTAAATGATGGTACCTAACTAGTACCAGACGTACAACAAATTGTTTGGTACAGGGGTGCTTTACGAAGCAGCCATATTGTGTTGGGTTTGTGCGACAGTCCCCAACAGTGTTGATTTTACCCATTTCCTTCAGTACTGCCAGATATTTCCATTACATATGGGATTACACGTTGTTATACAGATCTCAATTAGACACTTTTATACACCCAGTACGAACAACCTCAAACACCCCGACCTCACCTCAGGATTTTACGAAAGAGTTTACACACACACTGTGTTTCAGCACTGTGAGCCATGACTGACCTCATGCTGCCAAACACACACTGTGATGTCTGTCAAACCCGTGTTTCATTTCATACTTGGTCACATTACAGCCCGTGCAATTGTAATAATAAGCATGAATCTCATGGCGTTTATATTGGCCTCCAAACAGAACTACACCCCCATTTTTTTTTGTTAGCATGAAAATCAAGAAACAATTTTTTTATAATTAGTGTATATCTCATATAGAATATATATGGCTTCCAAACAGAACTATGAAATATTTTGGTACTATACCTTTTTTTTTACTTCCTATTTTTATTTTTTATCACATTTTTAAAACCTTTTTTTAATTTAAAAATAATTTTGGTACTAAGTTTTTTTACTTTTTTCTTTTTTTCCAATGGTATATGCACAAGTGTGCTTACCATAAATCAAATTTTACATTATTACCTGATTACCTGATGAACAATACAGTTGAAATTTTGTGAATGATGAGGGGTGGACATTTTATTTTATTATCGACACAAATGAATAGAGGCCTTACTGTCCTGGTTGGGCTCAATAAAGAGCTAATTCAAGCGATCACATTCATGGTGTGTAAATCCCATGACTGAACTAACGTTTCTGATCAGATTTGTATCACCAGTAGTTGGACAAACTGAACAAAAAATCTTGCACTAGAATGTGCCGTAACAGTTCAGTATGATACGTCTAAACCTTGTAGTGCAAGTCGATTTTACAGGCAGCAGTACTGTTTTTTGTTGTTGTTTTTTTCATTTCGAGCATCCTGCTGTTAAGCCTTGGAAGCCAGTCAAAGTTGCTCGCAACTTTTTTTTAGGCTGTTTTATTTCATTGCAGTTGTATCTTTTATTTCATATGGTTTATTTTTGCTTAAAATAACTCTTGCTGGGGCGATGGTAAGCTCACAGCAACAGGTTTAAAAAAGAAAAAAAAATCAATGTCATGTTTGCTGCTGAAATGAAACAAACAATGAACAATCTGTAAATTATTGAATATATAGAAATGTTCTTGGTTCTCTTTTAAGAGTTAAAGTATTTAACATTTCATGGTTGGTGTTTCATTATAATATTTTTTGCCTTTAGAATCTCGACACATTTTTAAAATGTGTCCACTGTTCTTAAGTTCAATCTTTTTGTGGGGAATATTTGCTTTTATAGTAAAATGTGTAATCCAACCTTTTTGAGAGAATGATACGGTTCTATAGAGTTTCTTTAATTTTGTAAAAGATGCGTATTAATGTAACATGCACATCAGGGACTTCCCTTCTCCCCCCACCAACTCCGGATGGAATCGCTTTTGGATACCTGTTACACTTGCGTTTCCCTGAGCTCTGATTGGCTGTGACAGTGGTGTTCCTGAAACCTGATAGGCTGTTCTAAAGGTTGCCTGTCATTCGATAGGTTGCAGTTGTCGATTTAGCACCCTGCGGTTGTGTTATGATACAGGGTGTGGGGCATCACTCTTCCCACCATTATGTGGCCAAACCTTCAACATTTCAACCAAACTTGTTCTCCTTTGTAAATAATGTGTTGTATAAATGAAAACCGATGATTGGTGGATATTGGACTGACCAGGGATGATTGGTTTTATGGATGCTCAAAGCAAGCAAATGATTGGTCCTCTTGAATGAATGAATGAATGAATTGAAACATGTAAACAATATGAGTGTATGTACAGATGAATGGATGTATGCACATGTAAACAAATATGTTTGTTTTCAATGAATGAAATGACCAGCAGTAAAGAGAGGGCTGTGTAAACCCCTCCCCACCCCCCTATTTAGAAGAATGGTATCTTCTGGAACCTTGACGTGTAATAAAGTAGAAGCGCTTATCTTTTCTGAACTTGTTTCCTGTGCTCTTTATGGCATGCAACACGAGAGGCTATATTGTAAACCGGGTATGTTGTTAAAAGTAATCCAACCTTTTTGAGAGAATGATACGGATCTATAGAGTTTCTTTAATTTTGTAAAAGATGCGTATTAATGTAACATGCACATCAGGGACTTCCCTTCTCCCCCCACCAACTCCGGATGGAATCGCTTTTGGATACCTGTTACACTTGCCCTGAGCTCTGATTGGCTGTGACAGTGGTGTTCCTGAAACCTGATAGGCTGTTCTAAAGGTTGCCTGTCATTCGATAGGTTGCAGTTGTCGATTTAGCACCCTGCGGTTGTGTTATGATACAGGGTGTGGGGCATCACTCTTCCCACCATTATGTGGCCAAACCTTCAACATTTCAACCAAACTTGTTCTCCTTTGTAAATAATGTGTTGTATAAATGAAAACCGATGATTGGTGGATATTGGACTGACCAGGGATGATTGGTTTTATGGATGCTCAAAGCAAGCAAATGATTGGTCCTCTTGAATGAATGAATGAATGAATTGAAACATGTAAACAATATGAGTGTATGTACAGATGAATGGATGTATGCACATGTAAACAAATATGTTTGTTTTCAATGAATGAAATGACCAGCAGTAAAGAGAGGGCTGTGTAAACCCCTCCCCACCCCCCTATTTAGAAGAATGGTATCTTCTGGAACCTTGACGTGTAATAAAGTAGAAGCGCTTATCTTTTCTGAACTTGTTTCCTGTGCTCTTTATGGCATGCAACACGAGAGGCTATATTGTAAACCGGGTATGTTGTTAAAAAACGGCAACCCATTCCATCATGATCATATTCACGATTTAGTATGACTACGAGTGCCTTATAATATAATTAAAATTATTAATTTAATTTCATTTTTCTTAAATAATTATTTTAATATTTTATTTGTGTGTATGTGTATATATATATATATATATATATATATAGATGCATAGCCAACAATATGATACATTAAAAATAAATATGAAGCATGTGATGCAATACGATTCACCCCTATTACAATGCCGTTTCAGTGCAATACACTGCAATGGAAAAACATATTATGCTATTTTTGCAATTCAATATGGTACAAAAAGTTAGCTTTTATTTATTTTGGTTCAGACAGACAACAAATCATTAATTTATTAAATTAAGTGCCTTCTGACTTCTAACGCCTCAAGTCTGTTGTGATATTCACGTAGCAGGAGTGATGAGAGAATGCGTAGTTTAGAGAGGAGAAATCAATCTACATATAAAATATTGGTCACTTTCTAAATAATAAAAGTATAGTGCATCTACTAATAATTATATATAAATAAATTGTATTTACTGATGCAAATATGTTAGAAACGATGAATTCCGATGCACAGTTTTTCAAAATCGATGCATCGCATCAACTTTTATGCCAATGCACCAATGCGAATCAGTGAATCTTACCATCCACAACATTTGTAGCATTTTTAGCATGTTTCTTGAGCAGCAAATCAACATCATATAATGATTTATGACGAATCATGTGACACTAGAGTAATGATGCTGAAAATTCAGTTTTGCTATAAAAATAGAAAATGTTATTTTAAAGTCAAATAATTTGACAATATTACTGTTCTACTGGATTTTTGATCTAAGAAAGGCAGCCTTGATAAGCATTTTCAAAAACAATCTTACAGACCTCAAACTTTTAAATGGTGGTGGCATAGCAGTGGGTTTTTACCTATACATTCTGTCCTAGTTAGATTTTATTACTATGGCTTTTTGTTTCCATAGTCAGGTACTCAACGGGAGAGTCTGGATTTGTGGCACGTAGACTGGACTCTAGAGGCCTGCAACATATGGAAAGTCTTTCAGAATGTGGAGAAGGAAAGAATGACATGAGGTTGTACCTCATCAATGGAGTTCTCCACAGACATTCCTTCAGCAGGAGCTCTGTGACGGGCCAGCAGCAGACAAAAGCATATCCTTACTCTGTGTGTGTGTGTGTGTGTGTGTGTGTGTGTGTGTGTGTGTGTACAGGGTCAATTTATGTGGGATTTGGAGGAACTTAGGTAGATATACACTCGAGACCTTAACCTGCTAGCTGCTGGGATTTTACCCTGATTGCATTTAGTATTTAATGAGATTGGAACATGCAGCCTGACAAAAAGTCCCACATGAGAAGGCTGTGTCCTTGCTTTCATCGGCCCAGATTGTGAGCGCTCTCGCTAAGGATGGTGTCCTCAGATACCCCCCTTTAACTCGGTTAGCCTCAGTAAACTCGTCTGTGTGCCATTCACTGTTTCAGATTAGTGATGCACAGGTTCAGACATATTAAAGCAACTGTGAATGGAGGCGAAACTGATGCACTTCAAACTGATAACTGTTGCTCAATTGCTTGGTCTATGTATATTTTGTTAGTATAATCAAATAAAAGCAATTCGTTTACTTCCATTCATTCACCTTATTCTGTATTTCAGTACAAGTTTGGTATTCGCTTGTACAAAACTCACTAGGATCCAATAGGCTGATTTGGTGCTCAAAATCATTTCTGACAAAAACATCTGACAAAGGGCAATGAGCAATATTGAAACAATCAAGCCGACATGCAGTAACAAAGCAAGCTTTTAAAGTCTTTAAACCCCCCTCCTCCTCACAGACACACACACATCTGGTTTATAAAGTGTTCATAGGTAACCAGGTAGCTGACTGACAGGAATGCCAGACATGTAGTCATGGTCTCTCATTAGGCAGAGAGAATGACAGAGGTCCAATACCAGAACATGCAGACACACAATGGCTTTTTTAAAGCACACGTTCTCAGTGTTGTCTTTGTTGTAGGGTGGTATAATCGGATCTCTCTGCTTTGCTGTGGTAAAGTTGCATCTTCATCACAGGCATACACACTTACTTACACACACTTACTCTGCAGAATCCACAGATATAGCAGGTTTTAAAGCACTCGGAGAGCAGAGGGTCCCAGCTGTTAAACTAAACACAGTCAAAATCATCTTTCTGTTTAGCTTTATATTATCCAGCAGATAAACACAAAGCACTCGTATCAGATATCAGCTGTGTAAGTTCACACCCTCTAATGGAAAGAGTCAAGAGTCTTTGTTTTCCTGTTAGTGTGCATCTGTGTTATTTTAGTGTTATGTGCTATATATTTATGAATATTTTGAAGCAGCTTTTATTTTTCAGTTTTCATTTTAATTTTAGTTCATTTTTTATTATTATTTTTATTTAGCTTTAATTTAGATTTAATTAAAATGATTTAGTAATTTTAGTCAGCTTAAAAGGATAATTCACCCAAAATGAAAATGGCCTCATGTATTACTCACCCTCAAGCC